TGGTGTAGTATATTTCTCCCTTAGATTCCTGTACATGTTTTCTGAATGGTTTGTAGAAACATTGTTGGGGATAGGGTAGATGGGGTTGCTGTTTCTCCCTCCAAAACTTCCTGTAACCTGAGAAAAATGCGCTGTTTTAAAAGCTACAATTTTAAGATTTTATTTATTTTAGGTCATTACATTAGTGATGTGTACGACATTAAGAAGCAGGCATGGTTTACTTACAATGATCTCGAGGTATCTAAAATCCAGGAGGCTTCTGTGCAGAGTGATCGGGACCGGAGTGGTTATATCTTCTTTTATATGCACAAGTAAGAAACTGCCAGGTCTGGAGCTATGGGCTAAACATCTCCCAAACTCTTTTTTTTTTTTTTTTTCCTGTAAGGACAAATTGTCCCCATCACTTATTGGTTGACAGTTTTTTATTTTTATTACCTTTGCTTAGGGCTTATATCTTGATATCTTAACTCATGTTAATGACTTACCTCATGGTAGTGTCGAGGTATGGAACTTAAGACTGTTCTGTGACAAAGCTGTCCTATCCTAAACCTTTTTGGTCTTCCAGGTGTATCAGCTAGAAGATCTGAGTTACATGGATGGATGGGAACTACATGGCATTGTTATCAGGGGTAGCCAGTGCCATTGTCCCCCCAGCGTTCTCAGAAATCTGCACTTGGGGTTAAGATAGTGATCAAATGAATGTGCTGCTTGTTTAATAAAATTTAGGCACTAAATGGGATTGTGCAGGCTTTATCAGTACCTTCTACCTGTCCTTTGGCTTTGCTCACTGAATTTCCTGTTTTATTTCTTGTTGTTTTATTTTAAGGGAGATCTTTGATGAGCTGCTGGAAACGGAAAAGAATTCTCAGGCACTTAGCATGGAAGTGGGGAAGACCACTCGTCAGGCCTTGTGAGGAACAAACTCCTGGGTTGGCAGTGTGCACTGCTTATTCCCTCTTACTGCTGCCCACCTCACCTTTCCTCTGCCCAAGGAGAATTTGGAATTCTACTTGATGCGGGAGCAACAAACAGCTCAGGGCCAAACCAAAAGACGAAAATTGCAATTATGTGGAACGCTCCATGCTAATTGTTTTATGGAAACTTTGGTCTCACATCTGTAGCTGATTATCCTCTTTTTCTCCTACAAGAGTGGCACTTCCTTTTGTCTTAGGAATACATGTTGTAAATAATATATATATGTACATACACGCACACACATGTATGTGGAATGAATGGAGCCTTAAAGAGTTAGGATGAGCCACCATAGTATTCCTGTTCAAAATTAATAGCACAGAGTTTGGAGAAGAAATGAAGGTGTCAAAGAGTCCATTCACTTGAGAGATGTGTAAAGATGTACATATCGGTTGGCATTTAGTTTTTCTGTTCCTTGAGTAGTTTCACTCAAGTCTATAATCTTTCACGTGTGTTTCTTATTAGTAAAGTTCACTGGAAAGCCAGCTCTCCATGTTACACTAATGACAGTTTGTCCTCCTTGCAAGGGAGAGGCATTTCTGCCACCTGACGTGAGGAGCTTTTTTTTTTTTTTTTTAATTAATTCATGGATTTGTAATGCTTTGCTGTTTACATGCAGTCCCAAGAAATGGATTGTTGGTGCTTTGGAGTGGGTTATAGTCCCCCGTTTGGTATTCATTGAACACTTTGTATTTTCTTTAAAAGAGATCCCTTCACACAGTATATTCATCTGTATTATTGTAGTGAAGACAGAATCTTTTCTTTTTCTTCTGTATCATTCTTCCATGGAGCAAGCATTACCCTAATAGATTGCAACCAAAATTTTAAGAGGTAAGAAAATAATATCCCAATTGGGATTCCCCAGCAAGGACACTTGGGGATATGGAAGAGTGCTAGCATCTGTCTCATACATGGAGAGGTCAGGATGAGGATTCTCGCATTAAAGCTAAAAACTCTGGACCACTAGAAGCCCTACTGCAAGCGGGAAATTAAGTACATGAGCTTAGGATGAAGCTTGAGCATTTAATCATTTGTTGTCTGTCTTTGCCCTTAAAACAGGGTGAGAATTAGAATGAGATTGGTTTAGGTAAACCCAAGAACTAACAAGTAACAAAGGTGCATAATATATTTTATCTTTTTAGGTGCTTTGAGTTGAGGGTAAATGGGAATGCAACATTAAGTGCCACATTAGTCACTCCGCTGGCGTAACCAGTTTGGATATTAAGCAGCTTGTGAAACCATATAAAGAATGAGTTCGAGAGGAGAATTCTATCCACAAAATAACTTTGTAAGCCCGGGAATCATTAGGTTCGCACAGTTAAGTGCAGCAAAATGAAACTTTCAATATTTTCTTTCATGTTTTACTTCCTTTTATTATCAGGAAGGAGGGAATTCTTGTTTCAGTTCTGAGGTAGGGACAAAACCACATCAGTTTTTCAAGGGGAGGATACATGTTAAAGTCCATCATCACAGAAGGTGCAACATCTTCTCTAGAAGATTGCCTTAAGAGAGCACCAGGCCCCACACTTGGACATGTTCTGACACAGTAACTTGTTCTAAAATTCTCAGTTTTTAAATTGTAAATGGCCCCAGTGCGTTGGTTAACTCCAGATGAAAAGCTCTGCCTCCTACCATCTACCCATGCACTACCACAGTGAACCTTCCAAAATGGTGCACCGGTCGGTTGTGCTTGAATCATATAGAGCAGAGGAAAATAACTGTTTTAAAACTGTAGCTTTTGCTGGAAAATAACTGTTTTTTTCCAAAACGAGTGAAGTGGTGATCAAATTCTATAGCTAGTTAGGACTTCTCTTCCGCATGTTTGCATTTGAGAGCTTCGAGAGGTGCTGTTTAAAATGACTGGAAATGTATTGAAGTGAGGGATGCATTAGGGCATTAAAAAAAAATAGAAATGATGCCATAGGCCTGATTGCCCATTACCCTCATTTGACTTGCTTTTTGTAGCCGGTGTGTTTGTGTGTGGGTGGGTGGTTTAGAAGTACACGTGGCTTAGAAACCTGTTTTGATTTGATCTTCCTTTCTTGGGCTGGACTTGCTAATTGAAAATAGGTTACTGAGGTAGATGAATTATCTTACTGCTGATATGCTTGCAACTTTGGGACTTGAATTTTCCTTGGTCTGTGCATTTTTGTGGCCTTGTCAGCTTTCCTCCCTCCCTGTGCTCTTTTATCCCCCCTTTCACTACACTTCTCATTTGGGTTCATGACTACAGATGGAAATTTTAGCTTTGAAGGGGTTTATTGGGTTTTTTTTGAGCTGGTTGTATATATTTAAAAATTATAAGTAGATTATATATATATATATATATATATTTTTTTTTTTTTTGCACAGTATGATCAGTTTGCTCAGAATTGTGGGGGGGGGGTTGAGGCATTTGGTGTGTTGGGGCCAGGAAGGGACAAGTCAGATGGGGACAGAGTGCTTCAGTCCCAGGTAGCGTACACAGTCACCTTTCTACTGAAAATACCAAATGTGGTTCCATTACTTTAAATGATGTTGAATTGGTACTTGACAGCACTTAGTTCTGCAGACAGCTGATCTTAATTGAAATTTTTTGGAAGAGAAAACTAAAATTCAAACTTTCTGATTCTTACCACCTAGTATTATGGAGAATTGGAAGTTGCATGTAGCCAGATAGCTGCTGCCCCTTTAGTAGCCATGACTCTAATTTAGGCCTATGAGATAGATTCTGTTTTGCGGGGAATATATTTATAGTGTGTGCACACTCATGAGTTTTGTGTCAGCAGGATAGAGCAAGAAGCAGCAAGGCCATGAATTGTTCTTCTATTTACATTTTGGTTCCAAAAGCTGTTTGTTTACTTGCCATGGTCTCTCAGTTTCAGGCCTAACTTAATGGCTCAGTAACATTTGTAACAAATGTAAATGTGTTTACATTTTTAAAAGTATACAGAGATACTTACAAATCAGCTGATTAACTCTGGGAGGCAAATAGTAGACTATACATTTCTTTACTTCTTGTTCAAGTGTAGAATTCTTCCAGAAGAGAAACTTTAAGAATTAAAACCTCACCAAGTGAATTCATGACTTGACTTACTCTTCCATACTGCAGTTACCATTATGTAGCTATAGAAACAAGGTTCTACATGTATACAGCTACGGATAGACTTGTATAATGAAAATTATTTGGAAACATCTAAATTGAAGAGATTTTTGACAGTGTCTATATAGTTGAGTGTTATGAGTATAGAGAGAGCTTGGGGGTGATGTTTGGAACCATACAGAAAAAAAGTAGTTTGTAAACTCATTCGTAATCTGAAAAGAGTTTATACTAAAACAAATAAAAATATTACTCTTCTTTCTTTGTCCTCTGAAATGACTGCAGTGGATGCACTTAGTCATCCAAACTTTTTTTTTTTTGGTTCTTTGCTTTAATTGGCACCCCCTCCCCTGCGCCCCCATAGGCAGTCTTTTGTTTTAAATCAGGGAAACAGAGCTAGATCTCCCAAGTACATTTGGATCTTGTATATATATATATGGAGATTTTTAGACACATCAACAACCCAGTACCAGACGCAAGTCCCATGAGTGTCCCCCAAAAACAGGCGTGTGCTTTCCCTTCTCCCCATCTTGCTTTACCACTGAGTGATGCTCTCTCTAAGTGTGTACAAAAACTAAGGGGCTTCTGCCATCTGATGTCTTTTGAATGCAGTACTTCAAAATCCTAATTTTGTCTCTTGGTATGTCTTAATAACATCTGAAAAACATATTTTATTGGAAAACTACAGTTCGGTAGGCCTTGAGAGTTTTGTGACCGTTCTTTTGCTGTGTGTCACCACAGTCACTGACTCCTTTATGGCATGCTTTGATTACTAGACTTCAGGCAGTCTTTTCCGTTGTATCATATTTATACACAGTAAATTTTTCTTTCCATGTGTGCTATATGTCTGAGGTTTTGAAGTTTTTAATAAAAAGTGTGCCAGTATAAGTATAAGCAGTTGATTTTAGTAACATTGGACTTTTCTTAAAGTACATTAAGAGGTTCAAAGCATAGGCATGTTGGCTGGTGAAACCATAGAGGGGTTGAGGTTCTGGATCAAGACCCAAGTTCGGCAGGTCACATGCCAAAACAAGAGCAATCAACTGACCTGGCCTGTTTCCAGAACAGAGCGGATGTGGGGAGTGAGACCACACACCTCTCCCCAGTTCCCCGCCCTCTCTCAGCTTGTCCTGGCATCCCAATTCCTCTGGCCTGTTGTCAGTGTGGTTGACTTAACGCTATGGAGAGGAAAACGGAAGGAAGGGTCCTACACTTTGCCTGATTGAGCCACTACCAGATTTGCTGGCAGCTTTGGCCACGTTATTTGTGAGGTGATTTTCTTTCTTTGTGTTCAGAGTGACTTGATTCTGATTCTTTATGTTGTTTCGTATGGAGCGGCACTTTATCTGTGTTTTAGCAGAACTGTTCCTCTGTATCCTTTACGGTTTTTCCTTGTTTTTGTTTCCTTTTTAAATTATGCATAGAGTTTTTTGTGTGTGTGAAATTAAAGCCTTTATTAACCTTGCGTTGGTTTGACTGTCATTTCTGGAAAGGACTTATCCTTACAGACACTTAACAACCATTTGTTGAGGTTGTGAAATCACTTTCTGTTCCCTTCTGACTTGGATTTCAATGCAGCACCATTACACCTTAAAGGAGATGGAAGGGCAAACCAACAAATGGCTGGAGGCAGCACCGAGTTCTCGTTTTCACTGGAGGAGCCCGGGAAGCTTGGCAGAGGTTCTGGATAACACTTTGTAAACTCGGCATTGGCCTTAGCTAAGCTCTTCCTTTGCCTTATTATTACCAGATAGGGGTGAAAATGACCTCTGTTCTAGACCCAGTGGGTATGCTGCTCTCACTGGGGACAGGTTAGTGTTGTGAAACTTCCTAACGGGGCCCTTCCCCAGGCCATTCAACTCTTGCAAAGGAGTGCCCTTTAACTTCTCATCCAAGTCAGTGAGGAACATATGTGAGAAGGAAAAGCCATTACTCTGGGAAAGATGTGAAACAGCAAAAGGCTGCAGCCCGCTTTCCATGGTTAAAAACAACTTACAGGAGAGGAAAACCTAGGGATGACTCCTCAGAATTAGAATGTTCTGTGGAGTGTTTGCTCTTCTAAGGAGGGAGAGCTCTAGAACAGGATGGTTAAAAGTGACATTAACACCCCAGGGTCGAAACAATGTGACCACCTTCTTAAGAGCTGAAATTGGGACCACAGTCTCCTTATGGAGGTACCATTCTGGAAGAATAGGTTGCTCACAGGTGAAATTTCACTTCAATTAGTATAGGACTAATATACCAGTCATGAAAACAAGGAAACTGCAAGCAGGGTAGGGAACTGCTCTCCAACCACAGCCACTCCTTCTCAAAACAGGCCTTTTTCTTTCTTGAGTTGTTGTTGTTTCCATCGCGGGAGGGCAGAGAAGACAGTGGGTGTCATCCCCAAGGCCTTGGTGAAATCCTCGGTGGACAGGTACTCCTAGAAGAAGAGAGAAACCAGACGGCAGCGGTCACATTCTCCCCCGGGGTTTACATGGATGAGTCCTGTAGGTGTGGCATAGCAGTCACATGAAGAACAAAAATAGGGAATGTCAGGAGAACCCGGAAAGAGATGGGGAGGAGCCAGGCGGCATGTTGAGGTCTAAGTGTGATCCCTGAATTTGGAACATGAGCAACGTGAAGTAGGTTGAGCTCCCGTTGACAAGTGCACCCTAGCTCTGAAATAAGAATCGGGACATTTGACTTCGCTTGGCTAGGGAATTTGCTAAGAGAATGTCTTAGTTTTCCTCTCTAAAATGGGAAAAGCGGGTGCCTGGGTGGCTCAGATGGTTGAGCGTCTGCCTTCGGCTCAGGTCATGATCCCAGGGTCCTGGGATCGAGTTCCGCGTCGGGCTCCCTGCTCCTTGGGAGCCTGCTTCTCCCTCTGCCTCTCTCTCTCTGTCTTTCATGAATAAATAAAATCTTTAAAAAATAATAAAATGGGAAAAAATCTTAAAGGCCAATTTTTGCTTTGTAATGCTTTTAGGGGGATGAAAATAATATTACACATGAAAGGGCACTGGAAACAAGGTATCTTGTTCATCTGTCTTTACTCAGTAAACAGTGAACCTAAGCGAGAGGATCCTACTTTCTGTAAATCTGGCCCACAGAGTAAGCAGATGAGCCCCCAAAGGGAATCTGCCCAGGTCTGAATATATGAGACTCAGTTGCTGTTACCACAGGAGGCCCAGCTCTGCTCGACAGAGCCATGACCCTGGGGAGGCGCTCGCCCTCCTGGACGCTACCTTGCTGGGGACTGAGCGAGCAGGCTGGCCGCCCCTGCGCGACGGGCCCAGCAAGCAGCAGTCTAGCGTCCAGGCACAGCTGTGGCACTTGCAAAACCCCCTGGGAAACAAAATATTTGGATGACTCGTGCTGGCTTCTCCCATCCTATGAATGATCTAGAAGGTTGGATAGCACCATTCTACCTTTTTACTCTTGGCTTAGAGATCGTGACTGGGAGACACCTTCCTAAGCCAGCGGTATATATCTTTCTCCATAAGATGAGGGGATTGCCTGAAACGACATTTGCTCCCATCTAACACGATGTAATAGGGCTACCGCTTAAGGCAAGCCAGGTACCCTCAAGGCACATTCACGTGAGAACCCCAAACTGAAGCTACTAGAAAACAGCATCTCCCAGCCTTCATCTCTGCTCCCCAGGCACCAAGAAGGGGACGGGGTGGTAAGAGCCATGGGTTTCTTTTCAATGTGAGCCCCCCTGCCAACCCCAGGAGAGTGAGCCCACTCCTGCAGAGAGCCCTAATTGAACAGCTTGGACAACATCTGTAGGTGGACTTCAAGCTCAGATGGAACCTGTCTTTAGGTTTGCCTCCCACCCCTGGGCATTCTCAAGTCCCCTGAGAGCCTGCCCACTCCCCCAGGCAGGGAAGAAGAGAGGAAAGGTGAGTGGTTTGGGCATCAGTGGATAGGGAAGAGCTGCCTACCCCAAACTGGTTTGTAGCAAACCCCCGCCCCAGGTCCCTCGCAGCTGTGGCTGCAGGTGCCCTCCCTGGCCCCAGCCAGGCCGGCTCCACGGCTTGGCTGAGACTTCTGGACTCTGACGCCCAGGGTAGATAGCAGGAACTGCCCATCCCAGTGGACTTGTATCTTTCCACTAGACCTGCTCTTGGACTCTGTGGTCCTGCCAGCTGATGACTGGCCTCACCCATACCCACATCTGCCTCTCTGGCTTACTCACTGGTACTCAAACATTATCCTCTTGCTACTGCCTGCAGCCAGACCCACCACCCCACTGTTCACCGTCACTGGCTCCCCTTCCGAGTTTGGGGCAGCCAGAGAGGCCTGAAGTCCTCTCCTACCCTCTCCACTTAACACTGACCTACAGCTTCCCCACAAGAATGTACTGGGGCTCCTGGTGGCACAGTCAGTTAAGCGTCCGACTCTTGGTTTCGGCACAGGTCATGATCTCAGGGTCTGGAGATCAAGCCCTACTGGGCTTCGCTCTCAGAGAGGAGTCTCTCGGGATTCTCCCTCCTTCGCCCTCTGCCCCTCCCCACCCCTCTCATGTGCATGCGCGCTCTCTCTCTCTCTCTCTCTTAAATCTCTTTTAAAAAATCAACGGACAACTGACTTTTTAAAAAGGATCTTAGATTTTGTAGACTGTGTCAACCATGGTAGGGCTGTCTTGATTCTGTTTGTCCCATTCTGAATTCACCATCCATTCAGCCTCCTATCAGTCACCGGGTTCAATAACACCAGCTGCCCCTCCTTTTAGAAATACTCCGAGCCACGTGGTACCATGGGAGCGGCAGGACTCCGATGACCTGGTCCTTGCTCTGACTCGCTGCTAAGTCGCTATGTCAGGCACATCAGGCAAGTCACTTGCCCTCCCTCCAGTTTCCTCAGGCAGTTGTAACAGCAGCTTACATTTACATACCAGGGGCTGGGCAAATAATATTTATAATATTACTGTTACAAAAAATATGTTGGAATCGTCCCAATATTCCAGTGAGGACACAGATGGGTAGATCTGGGAAAGAATGCATGAACATGGTCTCCAAGGTGAAGGGCAGGACGCAAATGCTCTGGGAACAATACACTTAAACATATATCGGGCCCAAACCCCTAACAGACTTGGAGAAATCAGGCATCTCTCTTCTGTAGATTACTTAATTCACTAGCAAGACGTCTTTATGGTTTATCATCCCGAGAGTACGTTGTCTTTTGATACCCCCATCACACTAGATCAGCCATCCATTTTGGATCTGCCTTTAGTGGGAATGAATACTGGAAATGTATTTTTAACAAGCTCTCTTCTTGCCATACTCTCTCCCCACGAGTGACCCGCGTGGGCCTGCAGGTGCAGGCACCGGAAGCGCTGCGCGCTGGTGGGTCTCTGAATAGCCTGCCCACCAAATAGGCATCACCCGGGATGTCCCTGGGTGCCTCAAACGGCATGGCTACCACCATACTCACAGTTGTCCCCCTCTAAGCTCAGTCTGACCCAGGGTTTTTTTATCTTCGAAAATGATGCAATTGCCCCCCCCAATCACACCCTTCATCCAGTAATTACCTAGTGTCATTGACTTTACCTCCTAAAATTCCTCTAAACCCCCTCCTTCCCTCCACTTCCCCAGCCACCACTCAACCAGCCTCTGGCCGCTGCTTTTGCCACCTTCCAGTCCCTTCTTCACTGGGTAGCCATAGTGATCTTTTTTTTTAATTTTCATTTTTTTTAAGATTTTATTTATTTATTTGAGAGAGAGAGAATGAGAGATAGAGAGCACGAGAGGGAAGAGGGTCAGAGGGAGAAGCAGACTCCCGGCTGAGCAGGGAGCCCGATGCGGGACTCGATCCCGGGACTCCAGGATCATGACCTGAGCCGAAGGCAGTCGCTTAACCAACTGAGCCACCCAGGCACCCAGATCTTTTTTTTTTTTTTTTTTAAGGTTTTATAAAACCTGGCTGGCTCCATCGGTGGAGTGTGCCACTCTTGATCCCGGGTTTGTGAGTTCGAGCCCCACATTGGGTGCAGAGATTACTTAAAAATAAAATCTTTTTTTTTTTAAGATTTTTAAACTTTTTAAAATTAATCCCCACTGTGCTCATTCCCTGCCTCTGGGCTTCACGCATGCTGTTCGCTTCTCCAGGAAAAATCCATTTTGCCTGAATAATTCCTGTTCACCTTTCAGAAGGAAATCTCTGTCAGGTTCCTTTTTGGAAGACCCTTCATGGCACCTGTACTTCACCTTGTAGCGCTTACCATCACTGAAATTAAATCATAGTGTAATCAGGGTCCTTTGAACCCTCTGTCCCCACTGAGATGTCACCTCACGTGAAGGTGGAGACCAGGTATGTTTTGTTCACCAGGGCATCCCCAGCACCTAATCACCTGCAGGGCACAATCTGGGGGTCAGTTAGTGTTGTCCAGCAGACGGCCAGCCAGCTTTCTTCATCCTCGAGCCTGACCTACCTCCTTCTTGCTGGGGTCCACACCCTCGGGGAGCTCCTCCACAGGCTTGTTCATCAACTGCTCCAGGGGAAAGATGGGTAGAGGCCCAGAAACGAGGTTGCTATTCGCATTGAACACGTCCAGTTTAGGTTTGGTGATCTCCTAGGGAAGAGAAGGAAACCACTGGTTCATTCTGCTGGTTTGTGGCTACCTCCCAGGCTGCTTTTCGCTCCAGAGTCAACATTGATTCTAGAGCATCTCCTTCGAGAAGCCTCCCATGACCCCCATACGCACACTCCTCGTAAGAACACAACACCTGATTGGATCTGTGAGCTAAAACTTGGTGGTTTGCATCCAACCAAAGCCAATGGGTCCAAGATGATTATTTTGTTCTATGACTTATGAACTTCTCCATGGCTTCCCACAGATGTTCAAGGTCCACCTTGGACATTTATGACCCTCTTTCTCTTATCTGTTATGAAACTGTCATCAGTAAATTCCCTTAGCCTTGACCTATCTATCCATGCTTTCCTGCTTGAACCATCAGTCCACCAGGAAGGGTCTATTGAGGGCAGAGGATACTCAGGCTGCGGGTGGGGCTGAGGAGCCAGCCTTATCTGCTGATTAAGCCAGCGTGCTCGTGAAATTGCTGTCGTGTTCTGGACACATTTCTACAGAGTCTACTTGGCCCTGCCTCCCCTGCGAGGCTATGAACTTCTTGAAGGAAAGGTTTTGCTTTCAGATTCCCATAACCCAGGGCCAACGGGTTCAATGCACGGGGTTCTGTTCACTAACTGAGAGACTGCAGTTTGCACCCGGAGAAAGGACCCCAGGGGTGACCACAGCAGACAAATCATTCTGTCTCGAAGTGTAGTCCATGGACTAACTGCATCAAATCACCTGGCTCTTCATTTAAAACAAGCATATTCCTGGGGCTCATTCCGATTCCACGCACCAGAATGTGGGGGAGTGAAGGGGACTTTGGGATCTGCGTTTTAACCAGCTGTCCCCACCTCGCTCCTGGCTCCCATCACCCGGATTCTTATGCATGCTCAGACTAGGCCATGGAGGAGAAGAAACAGCAGGAGGCCTTGAAGTTCAACAGGGAGAAGCACTTCCATGAGCTGTGGGAGGACATGGTGGAAAGGGAAGCCCAGGACCCTGCTATCTTTTCTGGAGCTTTCTCAGCTCCCACGGGGCGGCGACGTCAGCCAACCACCTGCCCCGTACTCACCACAGTGATCTGGCCCCAGTCCCCAGAGTTTCCAAGCTCCGCCTTCAGGTCCTCATAGGATTTGGTGTTCTGCACATAAAGCCAATAACAACTTAGACCCGGCTCTCAGCAGAGGACATGGAAGAATTTTTTTCCTTTCGGGAGGTTGAAAGAAGGCTGACCTAAGGCCCAGGGGTGGGGGCTAGAGGAGGGACCCTGAAAAAGGAGGCTAGAGAGTGAGGATGAACACCCACAGGGCTGATGGTCAGGAAAGGCCCTGCTCAGCCCCACATGGGGATAGAGGCCACCCTCAGAGGCAGTGTGGGCAGCCACATGCAGCCTGGAGAAGCTGCCTCCACTGTGGAGGCTCTGGGGAACATGGGGGGCTTGGAAGCCAGGGGCCTCCTCCCAGAGCCTGGAGGGGGACCCTGCCGCAGAAGGGTGAAGGGAGTCAAAGGGACACTGGCTCCATGAGGAGCCACATCTCTATAAGCCCAGAGCCTGGCCCCCAGCATGGCGCATCATGACTGCCGTTGTGCACCTAAAGTCACCAGGCCTTAGCCTTCCTCCTTCCTGTAGAAAACTTGCACAGGCTTCCATTTTGAGGACCTGCCCTCTGCTTCTATCTGAGGCCAGTTCAGGAAAGTCCTGTGGTAGTCTGACTCACTGTCCCTCAGGTAAGGACCACACGTATGACCCATTTTGCTTAGAAGTGGGTACCAGGAAGACATTCGTCTGCCCTTTAAAGAACTGACATGTGTCATTTTCATCTGGTTTGAGGATCCACCAACACTGTCCCGGAGAAGTTTCTACAGTGATGGAAATGTTCTTTCTCTGCGCTGTCCAACCTGGGAGCCACTAGCCACGAGTGGCTACGAAGCAGTTAGCTTGGGGCTTGTGAGAAATTGAATCTTCAGTTTTGTTTAACTTTAGTTGATTTAAGTTCAAATGGTCAGTACAGCTCTTAGCAAGAATGTCCATCAGCTCTGAGCTACATCTCGTGCACAAGAAAGGCACGGTCATGAGCCTGGGTTTTTGATAGACTTCCTTTCCTCTCCCTCACCAGGGGGCTTCATTGACTTACACAGTCTGACTTTTTATTCGAGGTCCCCTAGGACCCCTTTAAAAATCTGTCACTGGTCGTCTATCACAATGAATAGAAAAGCCTGGAAGTCTGCCCTGCCCTTGGGGTGTGCTGTGAGCGGCCTCCTGGAGCAGGTCCTGCTGGGCTGGAAGGATCAGGGGGTGCTGGCCACTCACACTCCACTTGAAGGGATCCCATGCCAGGAACCAGCCTGTGAAGGTGGGGGGCTCGTGTCCCTGCTTCACCACAATGATGGGGGTCTCGGGGTCACGGCCGCTGGGGTGGGTCTTGAGGTATTCCTGTGCTGTGATTGCTGCAGCTTTTTTCTCCTCCTCTTTGGCATGCTTCCCGATCCAGAAGAAGACCTGTGGAGAATCCAGAGTTCGCGCAGGCCTTCCTGTCCTCCCTGGCCCACCGGGCTCCACCTGGGGTCCGCCAGGCTCTGATGACTGACAGTGGAGCCAAGTGACCTCGGGCAGGCCCCGTCTGGCTCGACTTTGCATCTGGGAGATGAAGAGGTTGGACAGGTGTCCTCTACTTGGAGACTCTGCCAGTGTGGGACTCCCAGTCTCTCCAGAGCTGCAGACCCTCAGAAACATGCTTCTGCCATGTGAAAGAAACGGGGCTTTGGGAAAATACATCCCGCACTGCAGCCCCTTCCGGAACATTCCTCTCTACCCGCCTCCTTCTTCCTTAGGCTCTTGTTGTTCACAGTACTACTCCCAGGAAGAATGAATGAGGGAGCCCAGAAAATGTCAAATCTTACCTGTCCATAAAGTCACTATTTCTTGGCCCTGGGGCTTGAGCTGGTGGGAGGGGAGGGCCCCAGGCCTCAATCCTACCTGGTCCCAGACATCAAGCAGGAACACATCGTCCTCTTCCAAGTCATCCTGATTGAAGTCAGGGATTTCTGTGGCCAGGAAGCACCCGGTCTGGTTGGAACATTCAAAGAGCCGGGGGGTGATGGCCAGGGTTTCCTCCTGCAGTCTGCAGGATGCAGAGAAAATTGTGGCGGCAAGAAGGTGTGGGGAAGGAGAAATGGAGGACGCAGAACTCCGACACAGAAAGCCCAACTTCGAGGAAAATGCTCTTTTTTCTAACCACACGAAAAGTGCCCCCCTCCTCGCAAGGGTCTGAGAGCGCTCCGAGGGAGAAGTCCCCGCTGCCTTTCCAGGACGAGCATTCCAGAGGCTCTTCTGCAGGCCGTGGGGAAGTTCTGATATCTTCCTTCTAGGCCTTCTCCTGCTACTGCAGGAAAGCCCTTTCGCTTTTGAACGGGGGAATAGTGGACCCTGGGTATGCTCTAGAAAAAATACCGGAAAGTGTTTCCAGCTGGGGCTTCTCAGCATCCAGGTCCTGTGTCAGGACTAAAGAACAGGGTTCTGGCAGCTTCGTCCCCAAGGGCAAGCCCTGCCCCTCTCTTTGAGTTGCTTCCTAGCCTGTGAACTTCATTTGCCAAGAAAACCCCCACCGGGCCCCAGGCATGCCCCTGGGCTCACAGGGCTCTGAGGGCCCATTGGGCCGCCCCTTCTTTTTTCATCTAGTAGCCCTGGGGACTGGTACATAGAGTCCTCAGTCCATGCTCACTGCAGACTCTGGGCCATGGGCTGGAGCAGCTAGGAGGCTCCCCAGCGCAGAAGGTGAGCTGGAGGCAGAGGGACCCCATAGTTACCTCTTGGTGCTGGCATAGGGAGCCTTTCCGCCCAGGGCTACCCAGAAGCTGGCCGGCTCCTGCCCTTCCACCACCACTTGTTTCTCTGTCCGGGAGATGGTGTCCGCAACCATCTTGGCCATCTCCCGCTCGTCCCCACTACAGCCCTGGGGAGAGGGGGTCAGCTGTGTTGGGGGAGACCATCTCTACCGCCACACCTACCCCCACCCTTCCACCACGTTTACTGGCCCAGAGCTCCTGGGTCCAAGAGGGCCCCTCCTGCCTGGATCAGGACCCCATGCACACCCCTCCTCTGTCCTTGACACTCCAAAGAACAGCAGAGAAGACAGGAGCCTGCACTCTCCTTACAGGGCAAGAGAAAGCATCCAAGAGGCTGAGATCAACGGAGAGGCGGCGACGGGTACGGGGATAGTGAGAGAGAGCCCCAGACACAAAGACCCACCAACACTGGGACAGGCAGGGGTGGCCAGGGACAAAGAAAACGAGAGAGACTGAATCAGACTTAGAGGCAGAGAATGTGAGGGTGGAGGGAGACTGGCTAGGGGCAGCTGGGAAATGAGCCAGAAGGACTTGCTGGCCAGGGACTCCCCTGAGGCCCGGGGACCCCAAAGATCCACTTGAGGAAGGGGAGGCCACTGCACGCACCTTCCCGCACCACAGGTAGCAGCAGGACTGGGTCCTAAGGATGAAGACATCATTGGAGTTGAGGAATCTGGCCCGGGGTTGGACCTCAAAGGCCTTGGTGTTGTTGGTGCTGGTTCCCTGCACCTGGAACAGCCGTGTGGAGGGCACTGGTTCCAGTTTGTCGGCCCGGGAGGTGCCTCCCTGCAGCGGGTGCGAAGAAGGCAGAGAGAGAGAGGTGGGAGCAACTTAGTACAGACAGCGGAAGATTCTCAAGAAGGGCACAGAGAACAGAGTGGAAGAGAGGCTGGGGTGGGGTCTGCCGGCCCCCAGGTCCTCTGCCATATCATCATCAGACTAGCCTTTCCAAAACATTGCTTTTGTCATGGCACTCCCCTGCTCAGAAATCTTCAATGGCTCCCTACTGCTCATAGACTGGAACCAGCTCTTCAGCCCAGCCTTTGCAGGCCCCTCATGACGCAGGCGCAAACTGCCCTTCCAGACTCACTCTGCTCTCTCCAGACCCTCCCGTTTAGCTCAGCCGGGCTTCTCCCTGCTCTACGTGGATCCCCTCCTCTGGGCTGTTGTCCTTGCTGTGCCCCTTGCCCTGCATGCCCTCATTTTACCTCTACTGAGCGCCTCAACTCTGACCCTGATGTCAAGAGCCCCTCCAAACCCCTCCTCCAGCACGAACTCCCTGCCTGCCCCAGATTACTGTATTCACGCTCAGCAGCGAACCCAACCCGCGTGTATTTAACCACAGGGTGCCTCGGGCTGTTAGTTCCCCGATCTCCCAACAAGACCGGCCTTCTCCAGCCCCTGCACCTTGCAGAGGGCTGCAGGCTTCGCGGGTGCTCCATAAACAGCTGATTTCTTAAACGAGTGCTGGAGATGTCTATTCCATTACGTTGGAAGGCACCAATGCTGTTTGGATAGGCTCATCATGTGGGCAAATCTAGCCAAAAGAACTACCTTTCTCATGCAGAGGATGGGGTGGGGGTGGGGGGGCCGTGGAGTGTAGAGAGAAACGGGACTTGCCCACGCTGCATACTCATTTCTATGGAGTGGTGGTTTCTATTGCCGGTTCCACATGGGTGATGGGGCCTCACACAGTCCTCTCCTACAAAGCACGCGCTTCACCCCCAGGCCCGCCCCCGCCCCGGCCCCAGGTCCCCTTCCCCATCTCCTGATGCCCACCCCGCCGCAATCGTGGGTCCTGCCAGGTGCCTCAAGCCAGCAGCCACACCTGGTAGATCACCATTCGTCCCTTGAAGATGGCCATGAGGTGCGGTGGCTCCTTGCCCATCGGGACCCGGATCTGGACCAGTTCATTGTTGTACTTCTGGTCCAGGATGACGGCTTGATAGGCAGAGGCTGTTATTTCATCTTGGCTGGCCTGGCTACCCTGGGCACAAGCATGATGGAAGTTGGGGGGACGAGGCCGGGCCTAGTTCTGAGCCCGTCCCCGGCCGCAGCAACAACTCCATCCCTGATTCTCACCTGGCTCCAAACCCAACGGTCTGCCCCACCAAATACCGCCCTGGACACAGCCCAAACCCCACGTGACCCAGACCCGTTTGATCCCAGCCCCACACCTAATACTTTCCCAGCACCCCCGCCAACCCTAGACCACCTGCTACTCCGCCCTTAACCCCAGACCTCCTCTCCTTCTAACTCGGGGGAACACCATGGCTATCATACCACTACCCCCAGGACCCAAGCATTTCCCTGTGCATTCACATCTGGACCCACAAATCCATGGTGCTTTGAGCAGATGAAGAGAATGTTCTGGAAGCCATGGAAATTGGAAGGGAGACTCCAAGAACTCAGAGAAGGGGCAAGGATTGTGAATGGGGGTACCCTGTACCACTGGGATCTCATAGCCTAAACAGTCCCAGGATGGAAAAGGTGGTGAGCTCCCCATCACCAGAGGTATTCAACTCAAGGGTGATAGCCGCTTGGAGTGGGAGCCGAGCTAGCTGTGCTCGGGACAGGGAAGGGTGGGGCCTGACCTGCCAAACGTAGAGCAGGTAGTGCTTCTTCTCGCCGATGAGGTAGGTGTAGAGCAGCAGGTAGCAGTCACCCCCGTAGAAGTGGCCTAGCCACTTGGAGTCCACCGGCACCAGCTCCAGGTCCTCAATGCGCCACACCTGGGGCCAGTACCAGGCTGGTTTGAGGGCCAGGACACGTTCCGCCAACCCCGCCCCACCCAGCACCCGCCTCCCACCCTCACCATACCTCCACCTCGCCGCTCCCGTCGTCCACCATCTTCTGCTGGGCGGCCACCTGAGGCTGCACGTGCATGGATGTGGCATCAAACTTCACCTGCTCTACTTTGGCTGGGTGGGGGGCGGGCAGGGGGATCAGGACGCCAGCTGTCACAAGCCGGGGTCCCCCAGGTCCTCACAACAGCCCTGAGTGATGACTGCAATTCTTAGATCCATTTTACAGATGGGGAAGCTGAGGCTAGAGAGATCGGATGGCTTACCCAAGGTCACAGAGCTGGAGAGTGGCAGTTATAATGCGAAACCCCATCTCCCATCCCTAAGACTCGGGCTTCACCAGGGCCTCCCAGAGGGGCCAGGAGAGGGACAACCCTTTCATCCTCCTCCAGGGGCCTGGTACTGAGCTTGCGTTCAGCAAATATTGTCTGGTGAGACACTGACGCTATCTGGTTTCCAGGGAGACAACCCCATTCCAAGGGAAAGACAGGTGCTTCTCAGCTTCCTTTTTGTGACCGCTCAGTTTACTCATGTTCCCTCGTGTCCTCACCCTACCGGGGGAGCCCAGCGCCAGGGGAAAGAGCGCATGGAAGAGGCGTGTCTGGGAGGGAGGTCCGGCTCCTGACCCCACCCTGCCTCGGGCCGGCCCTCACCCGTGGAGCCCAAGGTGTGGGTTTTGCCCAGGCCTGAAGTCCGATTGGGCAGGGTCCACTTCTGGAAGAGCTGCTGAAAGACAGCTGACTCAGCCCCATCATTCTGCACCTCCACCTGTGTGTTCGGCTGGTACTGCTTCGCTTTGATAAAGTTCTGGGAAGAGAACGGGGTGGCTGAGTCTGTGTCCCTCTCCTAGCCCCCCACAGCCCCACCCCCAATGCAAGCCAGAGCCTAGCTCGAACCCCAACCAGACCCAACCACAAACCTACCCATGGTCCCAATCCCAAACTTGAATCCAACCCCAGTCCCAGTGCCGACCCCAAAGCTAAACCCTGCTCTGGGCCCAACCCCAAAACCCAAAGAGACCCCAAACTTGACCGCACCTCAATTTTAACCCCAATCACCAGCTGCCATCTCTAACCTTGAACCCAACCCCCATTCTAACGCTGACCCCAAGCCAGCTAGGGTTACTGACTCTAGCCCTAATAATGACCCCCAAACTCTGACTTGGTCCCAACCTGCCGGCTGACCCAATCCCCTCTTGCAGGAAGGCCAGCCTCCATTTCTCCCTTTCTCTGAACCTAACTTGAGGTGGGAGCTCACACCCTGAGGAGGCCCCCAGGTGGCCTGGAGGCTGGCCCCCTGGCGTGCAGAGAAGCCCCAAGGCAGCTACGGAACTGACCCTCAGCACCCCTAGCTGGGTCAGGCCCAGAGCTTTCCAAGGCCTCTGCCTGGCGCTACACCCGGTCTGACCCCACTCCTCTCCCCGCCCCGCTGCGTCTGTTTCTCTCCCCGCTCCCTTCCCGGACCCCCCCTGCACACCAGTGCCATGTTCATGGCTCCTGTCCTCTCCTGGGTGTTGGCATTCTTCCCCTTCCACACGTAGATCTTCAGGCCCCCCTGGTCCAGGATGTAACAGTCCTAGAGGTGGGAGACAAGGTTGCAGCGTGGGGGCCTGAGCCGGCAGTGCCGGGCCACAGAGCAGCAGGCAGGGACCAGCTCCAGCCCCCGGCACTTCTCCCACTTGGGGAAGACTGGGCAGGGTGCAGCGGGATGGGAGCTAGGGCTGGGGGTCTCCACGCCCTCTCACCTCGTGATTGAGCAGGTCCTGGGTGAGGGGCCTCGTGGCGACTTCTCTAACCACCAGCTTTCCCTCTGAGTCAGACACGCTGCAGGGCAAAGGCACAACAGGGATGGGGGGGGGTCCCACAGCCCAACCTTCCCACCCCCCGGGGGAGACCCTGCGACCACAAAGAGCCCAGCTGGACACTCACTGATACAACTTGAGGGCGGCCTTGACCACCGGCTCTACCACGTTGTCGGGCACTGCGGCCTTCAGCGACCCCCGCGGGCCCAGCACGTGGTTCATGATCTCCATCAGCTTCGGGGTCTCCTTCTCGTTCTCCCCGTCCACCACCGCCACGTAAGTTCGGCCACCCCGCTCCTGGTCTCTGATCTCCTTGGCCAGGGTTATGCCCTGCAGGGAGGCCCCGGTGACCCATGAAGGCCGGCGGGGGGACGGGGCCGCGTCCGCCACCGCCAGCCGTGCCAGGAGAGCCCGGGCCCCCCTCCGGCAGCCCCAGGGGACGAGGCACCTATCCTGCCTGTACCCCCGAGAGTGCACCAAGTGAACCCCATGGGAAAGCAGGTTTCGCATTGGCAGGAGGGTGTTTGGGGTGCACTTGCTGGGCCTTCTGTTTTGACATTGAAATTTGTGATTTTACTTCGCAGTTTTGGACAAAAGCTGAGCCCTGGATATCAAAGTGCTCATGAGCTCGCACGTGCACGCACGCATGCGCACACACACACGTGCATATACACGGCAACAAGTATGCACACACACACGCGTGCACGGCATACTTCCTCATTGCACACACATGCACACACTCACACCCTGGCTCCGCCTCCTCAGCCCAGTGGCCACTGCTCTGGGGACCTGCATTTCAGTCGCCAGCCCCAGTCCCAGGGCTTCTTCCTATTCTTGTCCCCAGATCAGCTCTCTGCTCTCCTCTCATTTACCCAACCTCCGTGATAACCTGTTTTAAGATGCCCCAAACTGAACTCCGTCTCCCCTACCTTCCCCAATCTGTTGCTCTTGGTCTTTCCCATTTCGGGAAATGGCACTCCATCCACTCCACGGTGGCTCAAGCACAATGCCCCTCTCTCCTCGGCCCCATCCGCCACACGCGTAAGGCCAGTGGATCCCCCCTTCCTGTCCCCGGGGCCCGGGGCACCTGCTCCCATCCTCACGCAGGGGGCCGCTGGCTCCCTGCATCCCTGCAGCCCCTCCACACCCTTTCTCCACTCAGAAGTCAGGACGACCTTCAGACCTCCTAGGCACCGAGAACAGACCCCAGCCCTCTCATGCAGCCTCCTGGCCCCCCCGAACACGCCCCGAGAGCGAGCCCTCTCCCTCTCCCAGCTCCCTATAATCGCCATCCATTGCCCCGCGCCGGCCACTTCTCCCCTGCCTTGGGGCCTTCCCTGCCCCACCCCACCTCCTCCAGGAAGCCTTCCCAGAAGCCCCAGTGTCACATGCCGACCCCTCACTCCTCAGCTACTCTCTTCATGCCTGTGTCCCCTACTCGACAGCCAGCTGGAGGCCATTCACCACAGCACCCACGATGCTTGGCACGGGGTCCACCACACAGCAGGGGCTTGTTACACCTCAGTGGATGAGTCCCAGCAACGCATGCAAACCCCAACACGCGTACCGCTCCACAAACACACGGAGACTCAGATCTACCTTTGAACACACCGTCCAGGGCGGTCAGCCGAGAGGGACCTGGGGACGTGGGGGCAGGTTGGGGGTGGCAGACGTCTGGCGAGTGTGACTGGCGGGAGAGAGGCGGGTGGGACTAGGGAGAGGGGCGGTGCATGGGCAGCACTTACCCTGAGTCTCTCCATGCGGTTGCTCTCCGGCCCGTTCCACTGGATGATAATCTTCCCCAGGTCCAGGAGAAAAACATCCCCACAGTTGAAACTCTTCCAAGACACCTCCACCTGCAACGCCAGAGGGGAGGTGCAACCTCCACTCAGATACTTGCCACAGTCCACGGCTCTTCCCCACCTCTTCCCTGCCCTCACCCCTCCTTGGCCTCTGCCTTCCACCCAGGCTGGGAGGGGACACAGGAGGCCATGCCCCAGGGCCCGGGCCGATGCCCACCTCTCCAGCCACCACGTTCCTCTTGCCCTTGACATGCAGCAGCCGCTGGACATCATAGGAGTTGGTCTCCACCTGCTTCATGCCAGAAGCCACACCCCCCTTCTGGATCCTGGGAAGAGAGGGAGCTGACCCAAGGGAGTGAGCGGGCTGGGAGGCGTGACAGAGCCGGGGTGCCCGGCTGCCCCTGAGGCCATCTGAGAGCTGGGCCCGGGACTAGGCTGAGGTGCACGAGGTGCCTCAGCTGCCCACTCTGAGGCATTCGCTCTCAGGGTCATGCAAGTGCAAGGTCAGTCATTTGCATGCATGTGCATGACCTTCCTCAGCCTCCTTAAAGTTTGCACCCTAGGTGCCTCCCTTCCCACCCCGTAGACCCTGCTCTGCTGAGAGGGCCCGCAAAGAAAGGCGCATGGTGATGTGGTTTGGTGGAAGGAGAGGACAGAACTTGGAGGACAGGAGGCTGCAGGGAAGGGGGGGAGGGGAGATGCTATGGACTGAACTGCGTCCCCTCCCAAACTCCTACGTTGAAGCTTTAACCCCCGTGTGGTGGTATATGGAGATGGGGCCTTTGGGAGGGGTAGATTTTGATAATGTTTCGATGAGGTCCTGAGGGTGGGCCCTCCGTGATGAGGTTAGCACCCTTACAGGAAGAGACACCAGAGTGCTTGCTCACTCGCTTCACCACGGGAGGACACAGCGAGAAGGTGGCCGTCTGCAAGCCAGGAAGGGCGATCTCACCAGCAACCAAATCAGCTAGCACCTTGACCTCGGACTTCCCAACCTCCAGAACAGTGAGAATATTAATTTCTGTGGCTTAAGCTACTTATTCTGTAGTATTTTGTTAGGGCAGCCCAAGCAGACAGAAGAGATGCCAGCTCAAATGCCCAAAGGGTGGGCCGTTGCTCGGAGTATGGGAAGAAGAGGAGCAAGACAAAAGGGAGGAGTAGGGACCGTGGCTCACCGGAGAGCTCCCGGCCTATCCTACTGGTCAGTAGCAACTTGGCTCTTGACTGTGTGTTTCCACGGGAAAAGCCCAGAGGCCAGAACTTCAAACTTTTCAAGAAAAGCTAGAAATCGGCGTGTTTAGTGTGAAAGTGTTGCTTCAGAGAATGGAGAGTAGCCATCCGCCCACCCCGCAGAGGGAAGACTTGATGTGATGCCCTGGAAGGCCTCCTTCGGTACTGAGCTCTCCAGAACATTCAAATAGGGGTTGATTTACAAAAATTCATGGTGCGCAGACTTTCACAACTGCCTCTGGGGCAGCTAAAGACATTCAGAGGGATAAAGACCGAGGATGGGGCAGCAGCAGAAAAGGGGGCGGGGAAGCGGAAAGAACAGAGGTCTCCAAAAGCGCACTGTGGGTCTCCCCCCAGAGGCTCCCCGGGCCGGCCCCAGCTCCGCCCATCCCCGCCGGCAGCGCACCCCTCCGTACACAAGGCCCTGTTTGAAGTAGCCTCGGAAGGCCTCGCTCTCGTTGCCCTGGACCTCGCGGTGCTGGATTGCCCGGCCATTCAGGAAGTCGTCCATCTGCGTGGTGTAGATGGCAGCCGCCCCTTGCTCGTCCTGAGATGAGGCCTGGCCGATCCAGTAGTGGATGTCATAGGACAGACTGCTGCCGGTCTTGTGGATCTAGGGAGGACAGGGAATGCGCGGTGTGCCCCAGGCCCTGGGCTCCCACGCCCTCCCGCCGCCTCCCTGCTCGGCATGTCTTCGCACACACATGGGGCCTGGGCCGCACGTGAACTTGGCAAGGGGAGGGGGAAGCGCTCGGCGCAGGTGGTCAGGAGCCAAGAGTACCGCCCCTGCCCCGCCACAGACTCTCTGAGACCCTCAGGGTCTTGCTCCCCTCGTCTTGGAAATAAGTTGGTTGCGTAGAGCAGCATTTCCCAAGGTGAGGTGTGTGCTCCGTCAGAGGTCTGTGAGGCGATTCGGTGGTGCGCAAGCAAATGCGCAGAGGAAAGGATTAAGTAAGTATTTTATAGCTACTTTCTGTTTGTGACCTGGGACACCGCCTTCCACTTATTATGATAATGATGTGGAGTTATGTTTTTAAATAAACGGATTTAAATTTGAAAAGCGCCTCAATATAAGGACAAATACAAATGCATTAAATAGTACAGGATGTGGCAAAAACCAAGAAGGTGAAACGAAGGGGACTATGGATTTCGGAAATGTGGACCTGAGGTAGAGTGACATCCTACTGGCTCAGAGGGTCCCCACGACTATAAATTCAAAGAAGTTCACCTCGGTGGGAGCTCAGTGAGTCAAGGGCAGGGAGAGACTTTTCTACCTCTGACCATGCAGAGCTACCAAAGGCTGGGCCCCTGGGCACACCCAGCCAATGCTGGCTAGGGGTAAACCTGGCCAGCCCCTCCTTCCCGCCCCCAGCCTCAAATTTCCTCCCTGACACCACAGAGGCCTTTGCTGCCGGCTCAGACCCTCCGGTTCTCGCCCCCCCACTCACAGCCAGGACTATGTAGCAGTCGCCGTCATAGAAGCTTCCGAAGGTGCTGGAAGGAACAGGCACCATCTTCATGGCCTAGGGAGAGGGAGGATCTCAGAGGGGCTGCCTTGGACCACCCAGAACCCCCAGCTGCCCTGCCTCCCTTGACTCCAGGGAGAGATGGGAGAGGCAGAGAACCAGCAGGAGGAGGGCTGAGAAGAGAGGAGGGTGGCCTTGGGGACAGGCACCAAGGGCTTGAACCCCAGGAAGGCAGAGCAATCTCAGGCTCCTTCCTTCCCTCAGTCCACCCCAGCCTGCAGAGCCCCCGACACCCAGGCAGGCCTCACCTCGATCCTCCATATCTGCACCCCAGGGGTGGTGATGTTGAGGGAGCCTTTGACTTGGGCGCTCAGTTTGGTCATGGCGGATGAGCCTAGGGGAGGGGGGTGTGGGAGCAAGGATTGAGGAGCTGGGAGGGTTTCAGGTGCTCTCCTTCCAGCCCAGGCTTGGAGAGCTCCCAACAGCTCCAGAGGCCAGGGCTCAGACACTTGGGGAAGGGAGGGCTTAGCGCTCCACCCCAGTCCCTGACTGGCCCCAGGTCCCAGCCTCCAGTCTTCCCATCCAGCTCTGATCTTGTCACTCTCTTGCTCAAACCCCTACCCTGACTCCCTATTACCTAACTGATTAAAGCCCCCACTCTTTAGCCTGCCATTCAAGGCCCTTCTTTAGCCCCAAAGGAAAAAACAGGTGTTCAAACAAAACTTGTACTTGAATTTCAGAGCAGCTCTATTCACAATAACCAAAAGTTAGAAACAACTCAAATGTCCATCAACAAAACGTGGTGTGTGTATAAAAATATATAATATTCCATTGTGGATATATATTGGATATATATGGCTGAATATTATTCAGCCATAAAAAGGAACCAAGCGCTAATACATATTGCAACACGAATGACCCTTGAATACATTATGCTTCGTGAAAGAAACTGGACACAAAAGGCCATGTGTTGTGTGAGTCCATTCATATGAACTATCCAGAACAGGCAAATCCATACACGTGCCAAGCAGATCAGCAGCTGTCAGGGGCTGGAGGGAGGGGGAGGGAAGGGCCTACTGGTGGGTGTAGAGTCTCCATCTGGGATGATGAAAAAATTCTGGAATTAGACAGTGACCATGGTTGTAGTGTACAACATCGTGACTGTCCTGAACGCCTCTGGGCTGTGTCCGTTAAAGTGGCTAAAATGGTAAATCTTATGTGTATTTTACCACAGTAGAAAATTGTACGCGGCAGTTTTGTGTTCCTTCCTAGCTATCCCCAAACACCCCTCAGTCACTGTTCTGGTGGCGCTCAAGATCTAGCCCCCACAAGGGCGGGGATCATATTTGCTCAGTACCGAACCCCCAGCATTTAACACCATGTGAGCACTTTGTGGAGTGGGTGGATGGATGGTTGGTTGGATGGATGGATGGATGGATGGGTGGTTGGATGGATGGATGGATGAATGGATGGATGGATGGATGGGTGGATGGATGGATGGATGGATGGATGGATGGTAGAATGGATGGGTGGATGGGTGGATGGATGGTAGAATGGATGGGTGGATGGGTGGATGAGTGGATCACAGAGTGAACTTTCCCAGTGTGAACCAGCCTCCACCCATTAAGCTGAAAGAAACCTCCCTCCCCAAGCTTCTTTTATGGTATCTTTTATGGCTCATTCTGTTTTCACCTGTAGCTCTGTTCCCTGCTGCAGCTGCTCATCAGAATCACCTAGGGAGCTTTTAAACAATACCAGTGCTTTGATGCTGCTCAGGTCTATCCTCAGGGACTATGATTTAATTAGCCTGGGTGGGGCCCAGACCTGGGTACTTTATTTTCTGCCTTTTGGGAAGCGGAGCATGTGGATGTTTAAAACTTCCCAGAGAGGGGCGCCTGGGTGACTCAGTCGGTTAAGTGTCCAACCCTTGGTTTGGGCTCAGGTCATGTTCTCAAGGTTGTGAGATGGAGCCCCATGTCGGGCTCCATGCTCAGCGCAGAGTCTGCTTGAGATTCTCTCTCTCTCTCTCTCTCTCCTCCCCTCCCCCCTCCCCTTCCCACTCGGTTGCTCTCTCTCTAAAATAAATACATAAAAATCTTTAAAACAAAAAAACGTCCCAGAGACTCTGCTATGAGCCATGGTGGGGATTGGCTTGTCCCCAGTTACTCTCATCCCTGGTTTTCTGCCTCTCCCTATCAGGCTGGAGACCACCCTGTTCCCCACCAAGCCCACCACCCAGCCTGGCACAGCCTGGCACAGATTTGCCCTCCAAGAAGGCTCCTTGAATGCTCCTTGAATTGATGAACAATGAATGAAAGGTTGTGTGGCCCCAAGGGTCAGACTTCCTGTGCTGACAGCCTGGAACCTCCCTATCTAATCTCTCATGGCACCTTGACTCTGAGTCACCTCTTGGAACAATGACCTGGCCCTTTACTGCTGAGAAACTCCCTCTTCTGAGTCCGAGGGGTGACCTCTCTCCCCAGCATTCTGGAGTCTGGGTCAAGGTCTCCCTGCCCAGCCTCTGATTAGCGCCCCCTCGGACAAATCAGGGGACCACATCCGGTCACCAGCTCTGTGTAGGAACCTCTGGTGCCTGGGCCCTGTCTGATGCCCTTGTGGGTCTATGAGGTATTTCTCAACCCACAGAGACTGTAGGTTTCCAGGACCCCTGGGTCAGTAGGACCAATTTGGGTACAAAGGAGAAAAATATTTTCTGTGTTATTTCATTCACCACTTTGGTCTACATCTTCCTTTCTCCGAGACAGATTCTTTGACACTCACTAGCTCTATGAACATGAGCCCCGTTCTTCATCTAGAGATGGGGGGAGGGCTGGGTCAACCAGATGACCTCTAGGGACATGCTCTGATCCTGGGAGTGAGCAGCAAGAGGAACTGAGGGTAGGGCGCCTGGGTGGCTCACAGTTGGTTAAGCGCCTGCCTTCGGCTCAGGTCATGATCCTGGAGTCCCGGGATCGAGTCCCGCATGGGGCTCCCTGCTCAGTGGGGAGTCTGCTTCTCCTGCTGACCCTTCCCCATCTCGTGCTCTCTCTCTCAAATAAATAAAATCTTCAAAAAAAAAAAAAGAGGAATTGAGGGTAGACAGGAGTAGGAGCTTCTTGCCCATCAGATGAGTGGAGATTTGGGGGAGCAGGGACTTGGAAAAGCCAGTACGCTCCCTCCCTAGAGGAAAATCAGGATTCGGGACCCCCAGCAGCCTGAAATGGTAAGGGGGAGGCTCCGCTGGGGTGGGGGGCAAGGGGATCCTGAGGAGGGTGGCCCTGAGAGGTGAGCTTTTACTGCAAGGGTACCCCCACGGATACTCTCCAACGGCTCCTACTCTCATCCATGTTGGTCCGAGCAGAAGCCCCTGTCCCCCAGCCCAGGTGGCCCTCCCCAGAGAGGCTGTTGCTTCTGACCTGGTGGGAGGATTATGGGCTCCTCACTCTCCCGTGCCCACAGCATGGCCCCAGGTTTGGATATGTACTGCCTTCTCCCTCAACTGGAGTTTGCCGGCTGCCCCCCTCACTCCTGGTCTCCAGTATTCTCTGTCCCCTACTTGAGGAAGGGCACCATTCCTCCCAGACCCCCCCAAAGTCAGCTATCTGTGCAACACCCTGGAGCCCTCCCTTTCCTGCCCCTCTGTCTACCTGAATGTCTCTCCAGCCTGCCCCCTGCCACACCCCCTACCTCTCTCTGCTCATTCACTGCCTTCTTTTTTTTTTTTTTTAAGATTTTATTTATTTGATAGAGACGCAGCAAGAGAGAACAGAAGCAGGGGGAGTGGGAGAGGGAGAAGCAGGCCTCCCACGGAGCAGGGAACCCGATGCGGGGCTCGATCCCAGGATCCTGGGATCATGACCTGAGCCGAAGGCAGACGCCCAACGACTGAGCCACCCAGGCGCCCCTCACTCACTGCCTTCTAGTGATGCTGGACTGCTTGCTTGCCTTGGCCCCCCAGGCTGCTTCTCCCCCTTCCCCTATGTCCTTGCTCCTGCTCTTCCCTTTACTGAATGCCCTCCCCACCTTTCCTCGCATGGCTAAACATTACATGCTCCTTTAGACTCAGTTTAGTTCTCATTTCTTCAGAAGACCTTCCCAGAATCCTCAGGCTAGACTAAGGGCCCCTCCCCGAGGGCTCCAAGGCATCCTGGACCCATGCCACTCTTGACCCCCTAACCACATGGTGAAGAAAGGATCTAAGTCTGAGGTCTCCAAGGTCAAGGACCTAGACAGTTCATCTGTGCAGCCCCCAACTCTTAGCACATAGTAGGTGCTCAACAAATGTTCACAGAGCTTAAAGACAGAACTGTGGAATGGACGGGGTGGACTGTGCTGGAGCCCTGGCGGGACTTAGGGCTCCTGCACCACCAGGTCCCATCTTCCCTTGCTTAACTGCTGCCCTGCTGCCGTCAGGGTTCCGGCTGCGGAGTGCTGTCATGGCTCTCAGTCCCCAGTCATGCCGTTCTGAGCTAGACAAGGATGTGGCAGGCCCTAGAACCCAGGACACCCTCCTGTTTCCCCAGGCCTGTGAGAGTGAGGAGAGAAGACACACCCCAGCGTCCCAGGCTGCAGATTTTGCCCTTTGCGGACCTGGGATGCCTTTGCAGGCTTTCTGGGAAGTAGGGTGGACTGGATGTCCCAAGACCCTGGTCTGGACTTGGCTCCTACTTCCCCCCCAACCCATTTCAGCTACATGGGGCCACCATGGCTGGTAAGGCCAGATGACAGGTCTTGGTGGAAGGGAGATGCGACAGAGCTGCATGCCTGGGTGACCAAGCATGGATGGGGGCCAAAAGGGCCCTGCCAGTCACCAGCCCCCTGCCTCTCTTTGCCTTTGACCATCCAGTTCCTGAGGGTTGTGGCTCCCATCCTAGGATCCAGGGGCGCTGAGGCCCCAGCAGTATCAGGGGGAATGGCAGCACAAAGAAAGAAACCATTTCAGATAAAGAAAAAATGGGCAGAGAGATGGGGTGGGGCGGGGGAAGGGGAGGCAGAGTGAGGTTAGGGTGACCAACTAGTCCCCGTTTGCCCAGGAGTGCCCAAGTTGCAAATCTCAAAGTGCCGTGTCTCCAGATTCTCCCCATTCAGGGCAATCGGGATGGTTGTCACCTGAAGTGAAGTTAGCGTCAGGTGCGGCTCTGAAAGAGCAGTTGTCTGGAGTGCAGACTGTACAATTCTTTCCTTGGAGGCCCAGGAAGCCACACTGGGCTCCCTGCTCTTTCCAGACGCTCCAGAATGCCAAGCCTCTCCCTCACGTCCGCTCCAAGGTGGCCCTACGCTGCCAGCAAGAAGCAGGGGCCCTTGTCCTGTTGCCCCCCACGACCTACCGCCCCAGCGTCCTGCGGGGCTGCCTTACCTGTCTGGGGGAGGCAGCTGCCACCTG